AATGCTTTATTTACAAAGTACAAATGTCCCCTCTTGGAGCTCATGAATTTTTGTAGTGAGGAAAATACTAACTGGGCCCATTTGGTAAAGAGGAGTAAAACCTACACTACATTCCATTTTTTTAGTTGCATCCACAACAGTGATATCATATCAAGCTTTCTAACCGTTTGAAAACTTTACCCAAAGGCTAACAGGATATCATATCAATCTTTACCCACAACAGTGACATCATATCAATATATATTGAGTTATTCAAGAAGATTGATTAATTTTGGACCTAACCTTTAGCCAGGCTGCCCACTTCTCGTCATTGCAAGAGAAGGATTTAGATTCATCGTTCCAACCCAATCCAGATTTCTCCCGTATAAGTGCCAAGCTCCCATATTGTTTCTTCCACACATGAATTTTGGAAGTAATATGTGGGTCTGCACGAAGAGAACATCCGGGAAGAAAAGCCTTCATTTTTTTCTCCAACACTAATGCGTAATTTGTCCGGAAGCCGTTGTCCGTTTTATAGCCTTCAACGACTATATCCTTTAGAGCATAGATAAGTGCTTTCTCTTCGTCCGTTGTCCAAACACGACGTTTGGATGAGGAACCAGTTGAGAATGACTGTTCCATTAGAATTTCCTGCACTGAATATGACATCATTGCAAGAAGACATTTTTTTCCGTTAATCGATGCAGCAAGACATGTACAATTATAGCATTAAGATATTAAACACCCAACAGGAAAGTTGTTCACAAATGGAAAAACATAGTAACACATTCAAGTCCCAAAAATAAACAAACAGTTTTGAAGTTCATCATAGTTTGGGATCAAAACAATGCCAAACAAAAAACAAGGGATAAAATTATTACAACAAAATGAGACCTAATTTTAATTATGTTTTTTCAATTTAATACACCGCCTTGCCACTCCACGAACATATGTTGTGCTAATTGGTCGCGTTTGAGGGACCACTCTGGGTTAGAGTCGACTTGATCGATCAAGTCATCGTCATCCACGTGAGGAGTACCTAACGTCGGGAACTCTGGCAACTCATTTTCCATGGGATCTTCAGGCATTGTTGTACGTATAAAATTGTGAATAAGGCCGCAAGCCATAATAATTCGATTTTGAGTCCGAATTGGATAGTAGGAGTGACTCCTAAGAATGGCCCAACGCATTTTCAGAATGCCAAAAGCACGTTCAATAACATTTCTAGCTTTTGCGTGCCGAAGGTTATAAAGTTCCCTATAGTTCTGTGGAGCACGATTCCCGGTACCCCACTCATCTAAGTGGTATCTAACTCCCCGATATGGGGCTAGAAAACCAGGACCATTCGTGTAACCACCATCGACCAAATAGTAGTTCCCTGTTATACAAATAGAAAATATTGTTTATTAAGTAAAATAGACTAGTGTTAGTTGTTCAAAGTTGTTGTTTTAAGGTCGATTGTGGTAATAAATTTGGGGAATACCGTTTGGCACACGTAGAGAGTGTGGCCTAGTAACCGCATCTCTCAGTACTCGCATATCTGCAGCAGACCCTTCCCATCCACAAAGCATGTACACGAAATTCATATTTATATCGCACACCCCAAGTACATTCACTGCTACTTGTCCCTTTCGATTCCTATATCGTGGCTTATCACTAGAGGGGACTTTCACGGCAATGTATGTACCATCTAATGCTCCTAGACACCCCTAATAAAAATAAAAGAAAATAAAAATAATAATAGATACCATTAAGTAGAAATACAAAAAATTGTTAGGAGTTATAAATATGTTGAGGAGTAGTTTACCTCAAACCATTTCCACCTGTAATCTGAACAATCAGTCTCGACTGGTTTAGGTTGGACAGTTAAGATGTTGTGGATGCGGATGACCGCACAAAGTACTCGATTAAAGTACTTGCTAACAGTCCTACCTGATCTAATAAAATCAAGCTTCAAAGTAACATTTTTCTTGTGATGAGCGAGGATGGAGAGAAACATAGCAACTTGCTCACTTGGTGTAACATTTCTAGACTGAACAAGGCCACCTAAATTTTCTAGAAGGAAGCAAAGACGACCAAAGCAATTTCGGTCCATACGGAGGTTTTCGAGGCAAGTGGTGTCGCTAACGTCAATGAGCCGTTGCATGTGACTCACTTGAAGTGGTATTCTATCCCTCAACCTGTATGTGAGGGGTGTATTGTTCGTATGCCGTCGACGTCGAGGGACTATGTATTTGTGGTAGTAGTAATTAGCTACTATCCAAAAAAACTGTGCCCCAACAACAATCTCTTCCAACAGCGTGAGAATGAGGATTTTTTTTGTAGCTTCATCCATCTACAAAGTATTAATGACAAACAACTACTGTAAACAATGAAGTAATTCGTCTCACTATGCAAGCAAGTTATAAATGAAAATCATAAATAAACTCCTAACAAGTATTCATAAACAGTAACATTACCCAAAAACAGTAATATATATATATATATATATATATATATATATAAGTAAAAGGAGAAACCACATTAATTCTGCCCTAAACCTCAGAAACCAAACCACATTAAAATTCTGCCCTAAACCTCAGAAACCACATTAATTCTGCCCTTAAATTCTATTTGTTCAGAGTAAAATTGTGGACAACATAAAAAGTATATGCATGCATATATTATATATAATAAGCTGCGGCCTTATTGTGTTGAATATTGAATAAAAAGCACTTTGTTTTTGTTGAACATTACAGCTATTAGTTTTGTCAGGTAGCATGCATTTTTTTTTTTGGGTTCACCGAACCGGACCGCACGAGAAAGAAAAACCGAACCAAACCAAACCGAAAATTTCGGTTCGGTTCGTTGCGGTTTTCGGTTAACCGAAATTAAAATATGATTACTACAACTTAATATGCAAATTTAGCAAATTAAGCTAGATTTAAGCATCTACTATGCCATTACAAAACTAAACTACCATAATTAATAAGTTCAACACTCTCAGCACTCAAAATATCACATAGCAGCACCAGCACAAACATAAATAATGTTTGTTAGATGCATAAATATACATAACAATATCCAACAACATCCATAAATTGATAGATAAATAAAACAAATGAGCATCTTCACTCAAATAGCAGCAAGCAAGTGAGCTTCAAACATAACACTAAAACAGTCCCTGCTGCAATAACTGTTCACCTGCCAGTGACTTAGAGGGAAAAAAAAAAAAAAAAACAGAGCAGAAAACTGGAGCGGCTGCGGGGTTGAGTCTTTGAGAGAGCTTCAGAGAATGAGAGTACGAAAATTAGGGCAGAAATGTAAAGTCTACAGAGAATAGAATTTTTATTTTTTTTTGTAAGTTTTAAATGTAAAAGTAAATTAAATGTGCAACCTGTATATGTGAAAGTGATACAACTAAAATGACACTTTTTATGATATTCGGTGCGGTTCGGTTAAAACCGCAGCTTTCGGACAAGAAACCGAACCGCACCGAAATATTTTTGGTTTTTCAAAATTCAAACCGCACAGTTAACCGAACCACCCCTAATTTTAACTACACAATTATCCTTTTTTTTTCTCTCATATATTGGTCAATACTAATAACCTTCACTCATTATTTTACAATTTTGACACCATGTCATTTTCAGCACTTTCATTTTCATCTATTGTAGGCCCTGCAAAATCTAAACATATCAGTATGCCCCTCCCGTAAACTATCACAAAGATGCAAGTGATAGAATAAGATTACCATCACATTTCCCCACACAACTTTGTTATACAACTGCATATAATACTGCTTCTTGCCTTGCAAAGTCACAGATCGTTCTAAAGATTTATAGCAAACTGATATGCCACACAATAATTACAGCAAAATATTACCTTCGAAAGCATATACAAATATAGAGCAAGAACTCCAGCTACTCCCGAAAAGCCAAACATCTATCACAAACTAAAGCAAAAACTGAACATGCACAATAAAAACAGTTTTCCTCAAGTCACATTTTACTTCAATCGATATAAAGCTTCTGTCAATAAATATATATGTGTTCGAATTGATGGTCTGGGGCAATTTGATTAATGGCTGTAAATAAAAACAGTTCTCCTCAATTTGATTAAGGTACATCTATCCCACATAATTTTTTTTTCTTTTTCGTATTTATGTGTTCGAATTGATGGTTTGGGGCAATTTGATTAATGGCTGTTCATTGTTGGGGCTTTCGAATTATAGAAAACCGAGCAGGTAGATGGGTAACAAATAAAGGGAAACAAGAGAAATTTCTTCATTTCTATTCATTTTTCCCAAAAAAAAA